AAACTGCAAGTAACGCATTGAATAAATAAAGACTGAAATAGTATTTTCTTGTAAAAAACACTCCAATAATCTTTGTTTTGTTTATAACTTCGTGAAATAATTTTTACAGTATGGAGTTTATAGCAACCATAGTTATTTGTTGAATATGCTAACTATTTATGCTTTCAAAAGCTGTTCTTCCATTTTAAGTGAGTTAGAAGGTATTAATTGCACATATACAGTGGGTATGGAAAGTATTCAGACCCCCTTAAATTTTTCACTCTTTGTTATATTGCAGCCATTTGCTAAAATCATTTAAGTGAGGTCTGAATACTTTCCGTACCCACTGTATATCAGTGTGGCTAATCAGAACAGAACCGTTTTTATACTCTTACAGTCTTTACAGGTTCTTTGGATTAGCATTTATGCTTCATTAAATCAATTTCAGTGTGTATTTGCTTGTAGAATGAGTCTTGCTTTTATTCCGCAACAACACGCTGTGGCACGACAGCGCTGTTATTTAGTAATCACAGTCCAGTGAGCTTAGTAATTTGCTCTGACACTCTGAGATGGAAATTTCCATCCTTTCCTTTGTCATAACTTAAATGTGTTCAACTGTTGTGTCAAATGGCCACAAGTGTTGGAGACGGGTTATTCCTGTCTGAGACAGTCCATTAGTTGATTATATGTGCTTTGTGTTTGTGTGTGTGTGCATGCATGTGTCTGCGCTCTTGCACGTTAACAAGATTGATTTAAAGTGAGTGGTGAATGACTTCAATTACAGCCAGAGAGAAATACTTTGAGAAGAGAAAAGAAAAGTAAATCTGTATTCTATAGTCATAAGGGTTAAGCACCATTCAGAGTTGAATTGAAAATTGCAACTGTTGAATTTCGAATGAGGTATCAAGCAGGATTGTAATTGGAGTTTTAATGTGAAGAAGTCAAATTACAATGGAATTAAATGTAAAGAAATTTATATAACTGCTGCAAGTATAGTTTTAATAATAGTAAATAAAAGCAATGCCCCCTTCAGAAGATTTAAATTTATTATATATATTTCTTATTTTTTTATGAACATTTTATATACTACTTTATATACTTTTATATACTAAACTTTGATGTCAGTATATAGTTTTTTAGACAATCATCTGGACATTTTTTTAAATGAAAAAAATTACCAATTATTTTGATGACTTAATAGTGTTGAACATAGTTTGGGGAAATAAATGTAATTATTCCTATTCTGGGAAAAAATTAGGTAATAGATCAATAGATAATACAGGTGCATCTCAATAAATTAGAATGTCGTGGAAAAGTTAATTTATTTCAGTAATTCAACTCAAATTGTGAAACTCGTGTATTAAATAAATTCAATGCACACAGACTGAAGTAGTTTAAGTCTTTGGTTCTTTTAATTGTGATGATTTTGGCTCACATTTAACAAAAATTGACTTGCAATTGATTTTAATTGAGTTTGATGTTAGCAAGTTGCTAAGCTAACAGCATAATGCTCTATAAATGCATAGCACACACAAATAATGGGTAAAATAATCAATTTTAAAATATACTTATCTATTTTAATAATAGTTTTTAATATTGAATTAAATATTTTATTTAAAAATGTTTAATCAACATCTCTCCCACTTTCTCCACCATTTTGGATTTGTTTTATATTTAAGGTTTGTAGGTTATTACATTAGATTTTGGTTTTGCCTTCTTTGTGAAGGATACATGCAGTGCTGATTTAGAATTTCGAAGGTATCTTAAAAGGATAGTGCACTTATCTTGTTCCAAACCTGTATGACTTTCTTCCAAAACCAAATTGTGGACCCCCTTGACTTTCATTGGATGAACAAGACATTTTTTTCAAACTATCTTTTGTGTTTTACAAAAGAAACTCATAAGTTTGGTACGACATGAGGGTGAGTAAATAACTCTGTGTGAACTATCCCTTTAAGAGACTGCATAAGTTGCCTATATTGGTAACCATCTGCATGTCGGTACTGTTGCCTTAATATACTGCCTATGAAAGCAGCTCACTAGGTTTTGAAACACAGCATAGCTGGCATTCACTTAAATGTCAAATCCACTGCCACCTTAGCAATCAGGTGCAAGTTCATGTCCAGTTATTTTATCACTCAAAAGAGGAACTGAGTGTGTGTGTGTTTGAGGGACGGGTTTGAGAGTGTGTGAGTGTGTATCTTTGTCCAGCTCTTACTGTATGAGTGTGTGTGTAAGCTTGAATATAACTAGAACACAAAATGTAGTGCTGGACAGCTTCCTTTCTTAACAAAAAAGATAAAAATCTCTTTGAGGAAAAAAAATTGTCTATGAGTGACAAACTCGCTAGCAAAAGAGTAGTAATGAGCAACAGCTAATGAAATCCCATGTCTGCCCAACTGCTGCCTCATCAACATTTTTTTGTGTCAGTCAGTGACAAAAAATCGTCTGCAAGCCAATCCTTTGTGTTATTTGTTGACATGCTTACATAAATCAGCTCTTGTGTTGCTCTGTGTATGAAATTGTACTGAAAATGAGAAATTTGGAATCATAATTACAGTTGGTGAGGGGAATAATCTAATTTAATGTATAATAATTGTTGTAGATACAGGAGTTTGCTTTTAGTTGTGTAAAGTGTGCATAAACACAACTGAAAACAATAAGCTCGGCCTTTAATTGTGCAGAAGGTGACGACCTTCGACTTTGTAGCATGTGGTTGACCTGAAAGAAAGTTATTACATTTTGATGAATTTTGTTCATCAATGAATCATATCAAGCACAATAAGACCAGGAATGCGAATTAATAAAGTAGGAAGGATCAGATCATTTGACAGATGAGAAAATATAAAAAAAATCTCAAGTCCAGACAGAGAACTGTGAGAGCAGTTAGCACGTCAGTCATCGTAAAAAGCAGCTGTCGCTGTTGTGCTGCCAACACAAGGGCAACATCCCACTGTTAACTGTTCAACACTAATTTAGTTCTGAGCACGCCATGTTTAGGAGTTCGTACAGACGTACTAACACAGAAATACTAAATTTAGCGTATATGCTGTCAGCGTGTGTGAGATGGGAGTTTGCAAGTGTGTTTGTGTGCGTACTTTACGAGTTTGGCAATGAGAGGGGGCTGATTGCAGTGTCTTGCAGGCGCACAAAGGCCTGGCTGTGCCGGGAATGAACCAGGCAATCTGGGCCGTAAAACTGCTATGTGTGGTATCCAAGTTAACAATGGCAGTTTGCAGCCCGAGAGTCAAATTCTGCTCTGCCTACTCTCCTTTCCCGAAAGTGCACAAGAGTAAAAAAACACACATATATAGACACGCACACATTTCACAGACTTTTTTCTCTCTTTCCTGGGGTAACAAAAATACATTTATTTAACTTTTAAAGTTGCTAATAAAATCATGCATGCACATAAAGACTCATAAGACTTGAGGAGAGGTGTGCTACATCTCTAAGCAATCTTAATTACAAATTTCGCCTAGCAGACAATAAACGGATGGAAAAATTCATAAACTTGCATTTAAACCGAATCCCAAGCCATATTTTGAGACCAGAATGTTATGCAAACTGCATGGGAAATCTGTGTTTTGTTTTTTGTTTTGCTGACTGACTTTTAATAATTATTTGTGGCCAGATTGGATTTTTTTGTTGACCGAAATAAAGATAAAACTATTATAATTGGAAAAACTGAAGCTAAAAATGTTTTTATGACTTCAAAACTTAAAACAAAAATTTAATTAATAATTAAATTATTAATTCAAACTGTTTAGTTTTCATTTTTTAATATTTTCACATTTTATAAAATGTATATTTAATGCCACTATTTAAATTATATTATTTAACATTAACACAATATCTTTGGAAACAAAAAACTAAAATAAAAAACGCGCACACACACACAAAATTAAATAAGAAATAAAACTAACCCTTATAGAATACTATTGCAAAATAGACTCAAAGAAAAACTGAATCATAGAACTATGATAACCCTGGTTCAAATGACAAAACTACAAGGCTTTAGGTCAGATAGACAGAAAGATTTTTGCAAAGCAAATTTTTGCTGCCTGTCTGAACAAGAATTTTTTAATATTTTCACATTTTATAAAATGTATATTTAATGCCACTATTTAAATTATATTATTTAACATTAACACAATATCTTTGGAAACAAAAAACTAAAATAAAAAACGCGCACACACACACACAAAATTAAATAAGAAATAAAACTAACCCTTATAGAATACTATTGCAAAATAGACTCAAAGAAAAACTGAATCATAGAACTATGATAACCCTGGTTCAAATGACAAAACTACAAGGCTTTAGGTCAGATAGACAGAAAGATTTTTGCAAAGCAAATTTTTGCTGCCTGTCTGAACAAGACTTGAGGATGTGAGCTCTTTTTTACCTGAGCCAGTCAATAACCCTCTAGCAACCGCTCGATCACATAGCAACGTCTTGGTGTCCAACCACAACACTCACATACATTTTCTCTAGAAGAGGTGTAAAAATTCACTTGATAACAAAAATATCATTAAAGCAGATGAAATGTTTGAAAGACCTTTGATGTACAATGGTATATGAATATAGTAATACCTGATACCATCACTTTTTTTAATGGATAGGGGACATCATTGGGTCTGTTTTCGCTCCTTTTATCTCCCAAATGTTTCTTATTACCTGCGAGAGGCCGTGTCAGCCTGTCTGTGAGATCTTTCTATACCTGCCTTTGTGTTTACACACCTCTACGCACACACGGCTCATCAGTTTTAAAGAGACAGTCCCTCTGAAAGCAGTGGCCCCGAGAGAAGTGTGTGTGCATGCTTGCGTGTGTGTGACGGAGAGAGAGACAAGCGGCCCCTCCTCTGGCTGCACGGGGAGTCAACGCTGTTGATTACAATGAAGCTCCGCTCCCAAACCTTTTACTGCCGCTACTGCCGTCTGCTCCCCCACATGCACTCCTCATCTCTCTGCCTCCTCCTTTTCTCACTCGCTCCCCTCCTTTCTCTTTCCTCCCTCTCTCAGTGACGGAAGGTATTCAGTGCGCCGACGGTGCAAGCTTTAATAAGGTTAAGTGCAGCGCGAGCATGCGGAAGATCTCGCAGGAGTCGCGAGCGAGGATCTTTAGAGGAGAACTCCTCCGTTTCAAATTAATCTATTTTATACTCGTGCTCCTGGTCGCAGAGCTTGCTGTGTCGAGTGGTTAGTTCCCATCAAGGAACAAGTGATTCTCTCTCGGTCTCTCTCTTTCTCTCTTTCCACTCAACATTCTGCTGATCTCTTCCTCTTGTTCAGTGGCCGAGGGACGCTTGCTCAGAATGGTTGCGGACTCCAGAGGTGCAAGAAGTCAAAGGAGAGGTAAAGCACTTTTTTTTAACTCTTAAAGCTCCCATTGAACACCTGTTTATAGCTTACTTCCTTTGCAGATTGATAGTTCTTTACTATATGTCCTGTAGCACTTTATATGCTTCATTCAAGAGGTAACTTTTACAACTGTGAATCTTCTGTTTTGAGAAAGTCTTTGAGGATGTTTGCGGTTTGAACCGTCTTTGTGTAATTGTGGGTAGCGTTCGCTATTCCTTGTATCTGGAGCATCCCTCAGTGGCTAAGAGAGGAAATCACACAGTTAAAAGGTGTATTTTTGGTTTGTGAAGTGAGAAGTGAAGGATTTTACCCTGAAGCTTTGTATTCAGTGTCTTTCAGTCATTGTATATCTGTTTCTCTCGTGTTTGAATGACGTCCTTCAGCTCAGAAACTGTTGGATCGAGCTTGTATGTGCTAAGTGCATCATGTTTAACTATTTCATTACTAAGTGAAAATGTTGTGCGGCAGGTATTTTACGATGTCTTTGTCTCTCACACCTTCTCACTCTCTCTCTCTCCCGCCCTCTTCTTCCGCAGGTTGCAAAATGGATTCACTTCAGTGGATCTGGTGGAAAGGGCAGCAAGCGGAAAAGAGCAGGGCCCAAGGTTAACTTCAAAGAGGTAAGACCCCACCAAGCAGGCTTTAAATAGATCTCATCCCTGTTTGTCTTCCCTGCATCTCTCCCTAATAATTTCCACTTCAATTCGGTCACTCCAGATTAGGAAAAATCTGTAGTTTTGATTAATCATGCATAACGAAGTCCTCCAACTTCTGCTCTTCTCAAGTTGCTGTTTAAGAATCGCTCAAGTTTGAACGTAGTTTTGTTGTGGAGCAGGGCTATCAGATTTTAGTACGCAAATGATGTACTGGAGGACATTGAATGCTGGAGAAGGGCTCACACATATGCCTGTCTCGTGTGTCCGCCCCTTGGCCAGCCGACAACAGAAGATAGGTGGGGGAAAAAATCAAGGCACAATCTGAAATAGCTTGTGCCGTGCCATGTGATGGCAGTGAGTCACTCCTTTGAGGTTTAACTTCAAAATGGCTGATCTCCTGCCAGGGAAGATACCTGTTGCTCATTCTGCGTGAGTTTATGCGTGTGCATGAGCGTGATGTTTTTGTGTATTGTTTTTCTCTATTTGTTTACCGAAACTTCGAAGTTGTGCATACGTGTATACAGATTCCTCTGTAAGTCTTCACCCAAATTGTCAAACAGTTTGTCTCGCTGAAACTCACGCACATGTGGAATCTGCACGCCGACTGGCTGTACACCCAACAGCGTGGTCGAGTCTCTTATGTTCACAAATCAGATGGCAGAATTAGCATCATAAACTTTTGCGTGTGTGTGTTGAGCATGTGTATTGCGTGTTTCATCTAGTGTGATTTAAGTTATGTCATCTTCAAGTTTCAGCACTGATGTATTGTCTGCCTCAAGATCCTGTTTTTGTGGTAGGTGTGTATATTTGTGTGTCAGGGACTGGAGCTAAGAGGCTATTCTGTCTGAATATGTCTTCGTGAAAGGACATTCTTGGGTGTCACGTTTTACAGCTGTTACCATCTGAAGCTGTTAACCCTTACTGAAAGTATTGTGGTCGTACCAAGGTATAGTGATGGTGTCAGATGGTAATTCAGTGGTATTTTGATATACATTAGGGTTCAAATGTCTGAAACCACTAATAATATTATTTTATTTGCTTTTTTTTTAACTTAAAAACATAGTATATTATATTATTTTAGGATTATTAAAACAAAGTTATGACATAATAATACATATACATTTTCATTTTATGTCTGAACTTTTCTTTGTTTTAAATTATTCAAAATCCTTTCTTAGATTGAAATTATATTATTAAAAATTATAAGAAATGAAAGTCTAATACAATATTTATTTTAATTCTTTAATTCTTTAATTTATTTCAATAATTGATATTTTTAGTATTTTAGATAATTGAACAAATGTTATGATAAAAAAACTATATAATGGTCTTCATTTTAAGTCATAACTTTTTTAATTCAAAATTCTAAAACTTTTTTTAGATTTAAATGAATAATATAATATAATATAATATAATAATTTTAAATCTAGAATTGATTTATTAGGATTTTTAATCATTGCAAAGAATTACATACAATTAAGAATATTATATATTATATTATTATTATTATATCTTTAAAATTATTATAAATCCTAATCTTAAGACTTTTTCTTGTTTTAAATAAAAAACTAAAATAAATTTTTCAGTGTTCTTTTTGGACCCCATTACTTACCATGTATGGAATGATTTCCATATTCTTGTGCTACTTTATTTCAAGTGAAGTATGTACTCACTGATTTATCATATAAAACCAATTTTCTAGTCATCATCCAGCTCTAGTTGGGGTATTTTTGATATGTGATATTTCTGAACATGTTTTACAGCTGTTAGCTGTGAAACCTTCCACACCACACCTCTCTGAACGAGTATGAAGCTCTCTGAAGCTCAGTCTTTCTGGCACCTGGCGAATTTACACATTTGTTACATGTAACTTCAGAGAACAGTGATGGGAGGTGTATATAGAGAGAGAGACATGCCCATGAAAGAGAAGAAAGACCAATTACAGTCCAGTTGGCTCTGTACAATGACCAGGGTGGGGACAGAGTGAGAAAGAGAGAGAGTCAGCGATTGTTTGAAGTAGTGCCATAAAAGCCAACCTGAAAGGAAACACTTTTGACCCCTCCTCTCCTCATGCCCCCTTCCTCTCGTACACCACTCCACCCCTTCTCGTGTAAGGTGGTGGGAGCCCCTGGCTCTTTCCAGGTGCATTTTATATTGCACATTTATGGACTTGAAAAGCAGGCGCCCCATCCTCAGCTCACCCATAAATCAAGCTCAGGCCGGGCCCTTAAAGCGACTGAGGGGTGAGAGGAGAGCATGTGGGCCCTACAGGCAGTGCAGCGAACGCTCTCTCATTGGTAATTACATCATAGGTAATTGGCACAGTTCAGGTCCAGACACCCCTTGCTAACCAGACTGAGATCAGGGTCACTTTAATGTGAAATGAAAGTTTTGGAGCGGAAAAGAATGGAGTTTTATTGCCTCCTGTGTGTGGGTGTGTGTGCGTGTTTGGGGAGTTGCTGTGCTATATTAGTTACGCTTTGTGATAATGAGCTTCATTTTGCTCCATTTTCATCCAAAAGCCAAGCTAATATGAGAGCCTGTCTGCACTGGCTAATCACAGAGACAGAGGGACCGACCTCTAGTACGGTCTCATATATTATCTAGCCTCCCACTTGGTTGCTAACCATTATACAAGGTGAAATATTGGCATTGAGCCACAGGTGTCCTGTTTGAAAGTCACTACTTTAGTAGACGCTTGTATCCAAAAAGTATATTCTATTCTATTCTATTTAATATTTTAATATTTTTCCATTTTCTATTTTAATGTTTTAAAATGTACTTTATTCCTGTGATGGCAAAGCTAAATTTTCAGCAGCTATTAGTGTCACATGATCCTTCAGTAATCATTCTAATATGCTGATTTGCTGCTCAAGACACATTTTTTTATTATTCATGTTGAAAATAGTTAATATTATTGTGGAAACTGTGATAGGATTTTTGATGAATTTCTGTCAATTTTGATCAATGTAATGTGTTCTTTCTGAATAAAAGTATTCATTTCTTTCACAAAAAAGCATTATAAAAATGTTTTACTGACCCCAAAAATTTATGAAAGTTTATGTGTTTTCCCTGCTCTTGAAACTACAGTGGCTTTGGTAGTGTCATGTTCAATTGAACTACAGGAATGCATTACAGGAACAGTTCCTCTGGAATTAAGTCTCTCAAAAGTGGCACAATTGCTATATTCATGGCTCAAACCATGATCTTTCAGCTACCAGTCCAGTTGTTGTATTTTTTCCACTTTTATTTTTAGGGATAGTAAAGAAAGGATAGAAAGATTTAAGGAAATTATCAGAAAATTAAATGCGAGCCAGACTCGAATTTGCATCACTCTCATTTAACCACCGCACCACAACCCCTCATTGTATGGGCTAAGCCGTTTAGGCCATACTGTTGGCTGTTTAGGCCATATTGTCGATTTTGGGAACAGGTAATCTAAATGGCTAGACACTATATGAAGTTCCTCAATGCTCTAAGGTTTGGCTCTTGTGAAATCTTTTTTTGTATATACAGTGTCAAAGAAAGGAATGCTGGGTTGTCTGAAATTAAGGTCACATTCATGAATAACATCATCCTTCCCTTAGACCGCAGAGCCTGAAACCATAGTGACACAGATACACTGAACTCCTAATCTATATTCTTCATGGTTATTTCTTCAACATATTCAAAATTGGATGAGACCAACAAATTAAAAATACATATATAACATCACCAATATGCTACAAATGTATTGTGCATTCCTAGTGTTTGCACTTCTCCAGGAAGGAATAAACTGCAATATTTTGTATTTTGTATTTCAACTACACATCACCTATAAAATTTCCTTTGATAAGTTCAAGTCAGAAAAGTTTCTGTGAGTATGTTCCGTCTGAAGTCAACCCACTGCACAAAACAAGACTTCCTGCAGTCCTCCATCCATGGAGCGAGCACTTTCAAGCAAGCTCACGGCCCTGACAGCACGGCTTTCATAGCTTCTGGCTAAACATGAATGAAACAGCCCAGTGATTTGATGGAAGTGTGAGAAAGAATTTTGGCCGAGGGAACAGTAGGGTACGACGCCATGACCACAGCAGTAACAGGTCAATGCACACAAGTTTACGCATTGGAAATGTCACATCTTGAAGACTTCAGAAGGGCACACATCACCTTTCATTTCAAAGACAGATGAGCTCAGTTCACTTCTCTTTGAATAACAGTGCTCGCTCAGCTCAGTTTGAATATTTACAAAGGAAAGTCATCCAAAGTTTTCAAGTAAGGGTAAAAATCTGTAAAACTTTTGCATCAACTGCAAACGCTTATGAAAGAAGAGGTTTGGGTAAATCAAGCCCCAGCAGTCAGTTCTATGCCTATCCACACTGACCTGTTACACAAACACATCTACAAAGCCCAACCATTTTATGCGTTTTCACAAAAAAAAAGCAGTTCTGGGCTGGCAAAAAAAAAAAAAAAACCTGGATTCGCATCGCTCTGTAAACAAGTTGGTCACAAACCAGGGACTTCTGTCATCAATGGCTCAGAAGCAGTATGAGGTGCTCAGGAAGCACAAAACTTAAACAGATTGTTCAGTTTCTTTGTTGCGGAAACCTTTATATGTCACTGACACTTACATAATGCTTTGGATGATAAATTATATTCTCAAAATATTCTTGGAGTAATATTCATAAAGACAGTGCGGTTATGTTCATTTGTAGGCAGGTTATGTAGTAACTCAGTTATAGCACAGTGGAAACTCTAATCAGTGGAAAAGTAATCATGGGTTGCTGCTGCAAATCCTGCCGCAGTTATCTCCTCTTGCCCTTGCTTTCACTGTTTGCTCATCTGGCAAAATCAATATCTGAAAGCAACTCAGGGTGTCTCCAATCATAACCTTCACCAATAAAAATAATCCATCAAAAGTAAAAAGTCCCCCCCCCCCCAAAAAAAAAACAAAACAAAAAACATTTGAATGTACCATATTTGCTCTGCACCCTACCAGCATCTCTTTAATGGAAAAAAACAATCAATAGTGCATATTAAGCAATATCCTAGTTTTACCGACTTGTGACTGGCCTAACAAGTGAGTGTTTTCGTGGCGCCTCTGAGCTAACGTATATCAACACGCATCAATGACGAGGCTGGTGTTGTCAGAAAGAATCCAATGACACGTCCCCAGTGAGTAATAAATAGGCAAACAAAGCATGTGAACTGTCTATCGGCAATGGTTACAATCTGTGTCAAATCCAAATCAGTCAAGTAGAATAAAGGGACAGTCAGTTGTCGAAAGCATTTCATCTGTACTGTAGAGATGGAAGGAAACTGACATTTAATACAGTGGGCGTCTGCTGTCGACAGGAAGCATATAATGGCTTATCACAATTACCATGCCAGAAATTCAAAAATTCCTTCAAAGTAAGAATTAAAGGGGTCATACGATGCTTTTTAAAAGATCATTATTTTGCGTATTTGGTGTAACAGAATGTTGACATGCTTTAATGTTCAAAAAACACATTATTTTTCAAATACTGTATTTTATTGTAAGTCCTCTATGCCCCGCCTCTCTCAAACGCTTCGTTTTCTACAAAGTCCCTCCTTCCGACAAGCGCAGTCTTCTCTGATTGGCCAGCTGGCCCAGTGCATTGTGATTGGCCGAACACCGCAAGCACTCGTCGGAAATGTAATGCCCCTTACCATAATCGCGAGCTTCATCTTTCAAAATATATGTAAAGACAGAGCCCGAAAGGGGAACAGAGTCTCGTGACAGACACAGTGATAAAGCTGGTATGTGTTTGCAGTACACAAGCCACGGTTAAGACAGCTGACTCCACTGTGATGTGTCTCTCTCTCTCTCTCTCTCTCTCTCTCACTCTCACTCTTGCTCTTGCTCTTGCTCTCGCTCTTGCGCTCTCTCTGTCGCACACACACACACGATGCGCAACACTCCGCATTTGAACAGTCAATAAGAACAGTGATTCTAAACTTTGTCCTCCATTTTCCAATGCCATATTCAAAGATATTCAAGGACTTTTTTATGAACAGGAACTGTGAGTACTAACATATTACATTAACTAACCACAATTCATTTTGTGATTGTAAAGGTTCCAAGAACCGTTCTTCAATTAGGACAATAGTTATTGAGAAGGAGAAAAAAGAAATATGATTTCAGTTAACACGCTTTTTTGCATTTAGATTTAGCCCCGGCCCCCTGGTTGAGAACAACTGGTCTACAACTTTTGGAAACCACTAATCTACATCTAAATCTTCAGATGCCATGCAACAGCTTTGTGTGAAGAACAGTCCAAAGTTTAAATTGTTATTAACTGAAAATCCTTAAAACGGTGAAGTACCATATTTCGATTCAAATTTGATTTGTTCAGTAAATAAGTTTGAAACATTTCACAGAGACCGCATCTGAATTACTAGTTTATTACATATCTGTTAATTATTGATTCATTTATAAACACTATAATTTTAACATTGGTCTTTAAATAGTGTGCAATGCTTCAGCTTTTAGACAGCAAAACCTTCACAGAAACGTTAATTCTTTAAATAATTCCTTATTACAGGACCGTCTTATAAGACTATAAACGAATATCAGACGCGATGACACGCTGGAATAAAACGATACATTTCTATGGATGCTTCCACACAGACCGCGAACATTAGCGCACCGAAAATGTGAATGTTTTTTTTTTTCGAACCAGTGCGATGAATCTTTTCAGTTTCGCAAAGCGAGAAAATGGGCCGTCCAATAAGATTTGAGCTAGGATCATGTGACCGGAGCAGCTGCTGTTGCACAAAAAGGCAAGAGTGGTGGCGCTGTTTCGAAAACCAGTGTAAACAAACACAGAAGAAGAATATCCCGGATAAGAGAAGAGAGTGGAAGCAGAGTTATTGTTATCGTTGGTATTTGAGAACAGATTTTTTCTCACATGTCCTTTATATAGAATAACATTTTTATTAATTGTCCACCGAATTATGTAATCACAGTAGAGCGCAGTCCGTTTTCTTCCACGTGCGTGAGTGTTATGAGTCAGAGCGCGTTCACTCTTTTTCTACACATGAAATATGAAAGCAAATAGACATATGATTATGACGATATATTTTCTGTATGTGTTTTGTATGCAGCTCATGGTATTTTTATAGCAATAAAGGATGTTTATGACAAATCTTAGCAGTGTAGCGTTATTAAACATACAGAGTGCATGTGTCTGCTTATTAATCAAAATCAACTATAGATCACAATCGGAAGTTATTACAAGCACTCAATGATAGTTTAAAGTAGGTAAGCAAATACATTAATAATGACATACATTTACAAGTGTAGCTTGATGCTAATTGTACTTCTAATTATATTTTAGGATGTAGCCTATTCTTGTAAGCATTATAGATAGTGTGTGTTTCCGGAGTAGAACCTTGTTACGAGATACATATCTGAGGAAAATTGTATTGTTGGTCGGCGCCATCTAGTGTGCAGGCGTGAATTAGCAGAAGGCGAACAATCGTTTCGGGTTCGGTGTGAAAGCACCGTTGGTCGCGATTCACCTCGCTTTTTCCGCATCATGCTCAGTGTGGAAAGGCCTTTATTCTGTTCTTTTTGAGTGTCCAAGCCAAAACTCTTGCATCATTTAGATGATTAAAAGCACATTTCGAGACAACAGCATTATGTTCCATTCTGTTGCACTCTGTCTAGCTGTATTACGAAAAAATCAGTCTTGTAAACAGCCCCCCCACACACACCCACCCAAGTCCCAAAACATCATAATCATACAGGACTTCAGATACTTAAGACAACCCACGACTAGTCTTTTTTGAAAATATGTTTACCCTGGTCACCACCCTCTCAAAGCCAGGAAAAAGAGCAGTGTAAAAATCTCCTTTTATACTGCACAAATGAAAAATAAATTACACAGGATTTCGCCAAACATCTATGGAATCCTGTTTCTAAAAAAATCCAATTGAGTTTAAAATGAGAACTAAAGCCAAACTAAAGCCTAACCCTAACAGTTAAAGAAATAAAGTCACAGTTGTGAGAGATAATATATCAATTACATTATTTTATTTTAACTCTAAAGGTGAACAGTGGCTGAGGATGAGTAAATGATGGCAATTTTCATTTTTGAAAAACAGCTGCACATCCTATTTATGCATCTGACCACATCAGAGACTGTTGAGAGTCTATTTTACCTGATAAGTGTCCCACAGGCGAATGGTGCAGCGCAGAGGAAGTTCTCTCATAAGCAGGTTGTTCATCCAGCGGAAGGCAAACTGCAGATACTCCACCTCATACTGCTGCATGTGGCGATGTACCGTCTCTGTTAAAAACCAAAACAGTACAATAAATCACCACCCTGACGTCAATCACCCCATTCATCTATCACAAACAATTAAAGCATCATTATATTCTCTTCAGTAAAATTGAGACCAAACAATAAATGACAGCCACACGACGGACACAACAACAACACAAATTCTCCTCGCCGCTTTCTCGCAGACACAGTTCACAGATGACAGACTGCCAGGCGTAAGACATAACACCCTAATAAAGCCATAAAGAATGTCTCCGTCCGTGCAATCATGTGCTCGACGCTGTCATGTAAGCATGACGTAATTACTCCGCTGTCAACCCAACGTCTGAGCGTGTTATGTTTGAGAGGAAACAGCAGCTTTATTTATGGCCGTCTTTTTAATCAACACGGACACGCTACTGATGGGTAGAGTGTGTAACATGCATGACTGCGTGTCCCTGCAGAAATATAGGCATCTTCATTCACCTCCTGACAACGATGGGATTCTTTGACCGTCACATGCATGACAGGTTTTGGTTGGGGGTGATATAAATATAAACAATATTTAAATATAATTTTATTACATAATATATATTTTTTTAAGTCTCTTCTCACCAAGGCTAAATTTATTTGATTAAAACAGTATGCACAATGCAGTAATATTGTAAAAAAATATATTTTTGTGGAAACTATAATACATAATTTTAATATTTGTGAATAATAAATAAATAAATAAATAAACAACAACAAAATCGTACTCCTAAGTTTTTGAATGGTCTGTATATAAAAGTAATTTCAGATTAAATACAAATGTATAGACAATGTCGTCATAGAGATTAAAAAAAAGAAAGAAAAATATCAAGCTCTGGCTACACGCATACATATTTGTTGCAGCTCCTGTCAAACTTCACGCATGTCTTGACAGTGTCATTTTCACATCCGGCTCTCCTGAATAAACAACTTAACCTCATTAACGCTGAACACATCTCACTGCCAAGACACAGAGCCGATAGACTGACAAAACAAGCAGACCGATTTTGCTTATTGGTGCTACAAATTTAAATCACCCCCATTTTAACCTAATTAAGAGTTCAGTGAAAGATAAGGATGGCCATGATGATGAAAACAAAATAACTTCTAGTTTAACATCATGCTACAATTTCCCAAAAGTGCAGTCTATGCATGCATGGTGTTTAATATGCATTTAATACTTTGGTCACACATTAGTTTGAGGACCAATTCTCACTATTAACTATGACTTTTGCCTCAATAAACTACTAATTTGTTGCTTCTTAATAGGTAGTAAGGTAGATAAGTTTAAGTATGGCGTAGGATTAAGGGATCTAAAATATGGTCATGCTGAATAAGGCATTAATATGTGCTTTATAAGTACTAATAAACAGCCGATATGCTAGTAATATTCATGCTGATAAGCAACTAGTTAATAGTGAGATTTGGTCCTTAAAATAAAGTTACCACTGCTTTAATATGCATTTGACTTTTTAAATCCACTTTCATCAAACGTGCACGCACACACACACACACACACACACACACACACACACAAAGCGCTCTATGCCATTGACTCTAAATTGAAAATATTCACATCACAACCCCCCTAAAAAACTTGCAGGTGTAACTTTGATGGAAATTATGTCAGGTAGCCTAGATCCCAGAATAAAAATGTAAAATATGTTAGAATAAGCCTTGCAGCTTTATAAGCAGAACATGGTTGTCAGCAAACAGTACACATTTTCTTGCATACCTTTTCCACCTTCAATGCAGCAAAACACACGCAAGTTTTGAGGGGGATGGGGAACAGGCAGAGGTCAGAGTTCGCAGAAAGACAAGTGAGCTGTTTGCCACGATTCTGCTGAGCAATGGACTTCTGCTCGACTTCTGCCCCCACCCATCCATCCCATAATTACATCTGCACTGACCCTCTGTCTCGCCCTCGCTGCATTTCCAGCCAAAACCCGCTCGGACATCTTCTGTGAGATCTCAACAGCCGTATCTGTACATGACTTATACAAGCACAGCCAGGGTTATTATCATTAACTAAAACTAAAACCATTAAAAGTTGTGTTACTCGAAATAAAATAAAATAAAAACCTTAAACTTATTTTATTTCAGCAAGTTGCCAAAGCACCATTTCTCTCTCGCTTTTTTTTTTTTTTTAAGACAACCAAACAAACAAACATAAATATAAAGTATATATATACATACATACATACATACATACATCCATACACACACACACACATATACATATACATATATATATATATATATATACAGTGCTGTGAAAAGGTTTTTGCCCCCTTCCTGTTTTTTTTTATTTTTTGCATATTTGTCACACTTAAAAGATTCAGATCATCAAACTAATTTTAATATTAGACAAAGATAATGCAAGTAAATACAAAATGCAGTTTTTAAATGATTATTTTATTAAGAGAAAAAAAGCTGTCCAAACCTGCCTGGCCCTACGTGAAAAAGTAATTGCCCCCTAAATCTAATAACTGGTTGTGCCACGCTTTGCAGCAACAACTGCAATCAAGTGTTTGCGATAACTGGCAATGAGTCTTTCACATCGCTGTGGAGGAATTTTGGCCCACTCTTCTTTGCAGAATTGTTTTAACTCAGCCACATTGGAGGGTTTTCGAGCATGAATGGACTGTTTAAGCATCTCAATCGGATTTAAGTCCGGACTTTGATTTGGCCACTCCAAAACCTTAATTGAGTTTTTCTTCGCACACACACAATTTAATAACAGATCTGGAGATGTGACATTTGACAGCAGTCACTCTACCAAGATTGTAGAGATGGCATTTATCATCATGGCATAAAACTGTTCATAACCCATAAGTCAAATGCCCCAAGTCCAATAGGATCAATATATAGAGTTTTATGTGCACTGCTTTTAATCTGACATTATTTAATATCTACATCTTCAGTCAAGGGGTTGATTCATGCAAAGTAAATGGAAAAAAGGAAATAATGCAAAGATTTATCTGAGACCAAGGCAGCACAAAACAGCAAGTAAACCATTATTTTCATCCATTCCAGGTTTTTTTTCTCTCTCTCCATTGTCTACCACATAGTTGACTGTGGTCCAAATGAATGTTTTCCCCCATATGTGACAGATCTGGTTTTTCGAATTACAGTGCGTTCAGCAGAATTCAGGGTGTATCTGACATTTTCACTTATGTTCTAGGCCCTACAATCTGTTCAACGTGACTTAAAAGTTAACAGTGCTGTTGGAATTCATGCCATTTAATCTAACTCAATATTTGCCTTAATTGCGCTTTTGACTCACAATGAAGACAATAAAAAATGGTGTTTGACCTCAATAATAATATGGATCACCTTGTATAAATATTTAATTTATTAAGTCTAAATGATATAATTTAATCATGTAGTAATTTATAATAATATAAATCCAATATTTGCATTTAATATTAATATAATCATTTATAAAATGTATTAATTAAAATAATAAATTAAATTGCTATAAAAAAACTGAATATATTTTCACCTTTTTCAACTCCTCGCTTTCATAAGTAACTGACATGAAACTTGACACTGACACTTTATTAGCCTTGCATCTTTATTTTTTTTTTATTGATTGACTGACTGGTTTGATTTAAAAAGGACATGCCAGGGTAAGTCAGTTTAGAAGTGCTGCCTATTCACACCAGTATCTCATACGGACAAAGTTTGAATCTCATGTGAGGAAGAGAAAGAAACTATTTCAGCAAAACAATTGGACAATTTGATTTACAGTCCAGCCCAAGATACGTTCATGTTCAGCAGTGAAAAAAGGCTGTGCACAAAAAAAAAAGCTACCAAAAGAAATCAAAGGCATTAAAGGGATAGTACAAACAAAATTAAAAGTCTGCCATTATTTTTGTACTCTCATGTCATTCCAAACCTGTATGAAGTGTATCTCTCTTTTTTTTGAGTCCATATAATGTAAGTCAATGGTCACCAAAACAGTTTTCATTCTTCAAAATATTTACTTTTGTGTTCCAATGAAGAATGAAAGTCACATTGTTTTCAACAATTTTAGGGTGAGTAAATCACTGAATTTTCATTTTTGGGTGAGCTATCGTTTCAAGACGTCCAATAGAAGAAATGACAACAAAAAGGAATCAAATAGCTTTGTTTTATACAAGTTGAGGTTTTTCTATTTTTCAAATTTGATGTTCAAAGCAGCATTTGTAAAGAACCCCCCCCCCCACCTTCCCCTTCCCAGCCACCAAAAGAAAATTGACATCAGGTGTCATTTAAGTTATCAGCATTTTTTTCTCATTTTCTCAGGAGCCTCTGTACTGCCCCACCTGAAATGTTAATGTGTGCTTTCTAACCTTATACGATTTGTGTGGAAAAAAGCCCACATTGTGTCCTCATTTACATAAATAAATTCACCTTGAGCAATTTGCATGCTGATGAACCTCAATGTATTCATACAAAACAGCAGAGATAAGAGGAAACAGTGTTCACGTTCTGGGGCGCTTCTGACGAACAGAATTGTTTTAGCGTTAAACAACTCTTATGGGCTATCGTCTAATACGACTGCTAATTACTACAAGCCCTCAAACGAACTGAAAGCGTACAGTGACAATAGTGTGTTTGGTTTCCTAATGAGAGTGGAGTGTGAGCGTTAAAGAGACATGAAGCAAGTGCACGAGAGAGAGAGAGAGAGAGAGAGAGAGAGAGAGAGAGAGAGAGAGCATATATAAAAGAGAAAAAAGAAAAAAAAAAAAA